CCCCCAATTCCCAGTAAACAGGCCAGACCACATCACAGTAATCTCGTGAGTGGGTTCTTTAACGTCCCCTGCCTAACCAAATTAACTAATTAATAGTTGCTGGAGACGGGACCTACGGTTTATTCGTCCTTATCCGAGAAGACTAGAATGTCTATCCATTTCTTGATATTATAGAAAGGTAGCGCATTTTCCTCAGTTATTTTAAGACCTTGAGTGTTGGTCCGGCCGGGGCTTGAGCCATCGACCTCGACCTCCCGCACAACAGTCCAGGGGTCTAACCAAATGAGCTAACCGGGAGGCGGCGTGATTCAACATTCTTCCTTGATGAAAGTCTTTGAAGTAAACCTGGAACACAAAGAGACATTTTTAAATAATCTCATCGGGGTAAATCTTTTGAGTAAAAAAGGCCATTTACATGTTTTTATCCTGACTTCTCGTTGACTTCTTACAGAGTTTTGCTTTGTGATTCATGAGGTAATTCCGGAGTAAATCCTGTTCTTCAGTAAAGTTTTAAAATCGACCAAGGACGAAGTTGTGAACATGCGCATTGTGATAAGTCTGTGGTTGCGCGATCAATCAGAAGTAATCGGGCAGCTAACTTGGGAGCGCTTTGGATTGAGTGCCGTAAAACCAAAACTAAACTGATCAAAACAATCAGAATAATATCTCAACGTGTAAATGAAACCTCAAAGTAAGAAGATGCATACTGCGGACCAATCACAGAGCAAAGTGAAGCACGAATCCAAAAACAAACCAATTTCTTTCGATATTTAACTGACTATTGCTCCGATGGTAAAGCTTCAATCAAAACAAAGCAAACATTCTATTGAGCACGGTAAAGATAACCTGAACATCTCCAACTTGCTGTCTGTTTCTAATCTCTGTTGTGAGTCATTATTTATAGTATTTAAAATATTGTTTGCCTGACGTCACAGTAAAAGGTGGGATCTTTGTGAATCAAATAAGTTAACAGATTCTTTGAGGTAACAAAAAGAACAGTTAGAAAGATTTTTCAAGAGTAAATTTACCAAACATATCCTTACGAGGATCAGTTTCCTGCATGCCAAGGTCAGAGGCTAAGTACATAGATGAAAAGAACAGAGATCGAGAAATTAATTCAGTTTGAGTGGAAATTTTGACCATGAAACCAAACATTAAAAGGAAAGTAATAATAAATTTATTTGAAATATGATATTAAAGTTGTGCCTATAATCTTGATCAGCTTATTTACGAAGATGTTGTAAGCGTGCAGAATTAAGCTTGGTGCTAGCGGAAAGTAAGCATTCAAACTACCCAAAAGGTAACATGGTGACATACTTCTCTCTTGATGGCGGCATTTACAAAGAAATCCAGTTGTTGATAAATTGATCAAAACAACATCTGACCCATAAAAGATAAATAATGAAAAGCACATGGCACAAAGAAAGTTGAGTGATTAACAAGAATCTGAACAAATTTGAATTGCTTTCTTCCAAGATTTGAAGGGTGCATAAAAACACCGAAGTTCGCTGTAGGCGACCAAAAGTTACGCCGTGCTCGTCTTTGGAAAAGCGAGCGCACCGTGGAAGGTTGTCGTGATGCCTGCAAAGATCCCAGTTTTGAAGGGAAATGCTACAATGGCGGGAAATGTGTGAACAAGATTGTGAGGAGAGAATGTGATTGTAGCAAGACTGGATTCAATGGTCCAAACTGCTCCCGCGGTAACAAACTAAGCTTGACTTGTTAACTTGACAGATATATTCATAAATGTAAATAACTAAATGATAGTAAGTAGAGGAAAGTTCACCTCATGCACGCGGTCTTTTCTCGATTTCCCTCCGTTGTTTTTGATCTCTTTGAGGTCGAAGCAGTTGTCATTAAAGTTTAGAATCTTTTTGAAGGTCTGTTGAGACAAGTCTCTTTTGTTTTCAGAGTTTTGTTCTCTTTTGTTATTAGTCCACGAGCAGGTCCATCTAAAACAAGAAATAGGTGAAATGAATTCAGAACTATTTCGTGAGACAGTAGAGAAATAGCTGAGATCTTTTTTTTAAAAAAAAAAAAGGAAAGGATCGAAATCAGACTTCTTCACTTCTTGTCACACTGACATCTTGAATTGCGCTCTATATTACGAAATTAATGATTTTAAGTCAAGGGAATTGCATTTGAAATGTGAGTAAGTATAATGACTCGATTACAATCTGGCAGTGTAACCACTAGGTAGACCCATCGATCAGCAAATGAAAGTAAATTTAAATGTGGTTTATCAACGGATTGAATTTCTGTTCATTAATATTTCATTCCACCCGGTTTGAATAACCTGTATTTTCTCTGTAAATGTGTGGAGAAACTGACTGCTTACAGATCACTTGATCTCGCCAGTGAGAAGAGACATATACCAGTTTGATGAAAAAGTTTCTCCATAAATTTCGAGACTGAAGCAAGTTGGGCGCTCTATTAAATTTGTAACTATCAATTAATGACTGACTTTGAAACGTGGTCATGAAGGTATTTGCTCTATTATTCCTATTAGTTGCTCTCCTCGACTCCGTAGCAGGGCTGCATTTCCACGAAGGTGCAGGTTGGTCTTTCGCAGAGTTCAGAGGTTGGGCTATGCCTAAAAGAAGTGAGCTGCAGTTCTACTTTAAAACAGGGGCAAGTAAACCTGCCATACTCCTGTACCAGGATAACGGAATGAAGGATTTTCTTGAAATATCCTTGATCAAAGATGGCCAGGTTCAGCTTTATCTCCGGGGCAATCGGTGCGCGCCTGAGAAACAAACTATTCGTCGAAACTTTACTGACAATACTTGGCATCTGGTGACAATTGCAAGAATTGGCTCACTTCTCGATTTCAACGTCGATAATATCACAGCAAAAACGATCTCTTGTATGGCACCTCCACAGTTATCTGGGCTCGATGGCAAAGCAGTCAACTTTCTCTACATAGGGGGAATTCCGTTATTTGATTCCAAAGGAAGTAAGGTCCTTAAAGAATGGTCCCTGACCGGTCTTCTCCAAAAAGTAACCGGCGAAAACAGGTGAGAAACGAGAACGAGTGAGGCGTGAAATAGCGAGATGTGCGAAATAAAGAGAAATGTGATGTCTTCGCAGACATCATTTGCAATTCATTTTGATAGCAGTCTGATTTAAAATATTTTGTAATTTATTGTTTTAAGTCAATTCCCAGGTAAAGTAATTAACTCAGTAGTAATATTGCGAGTGATTTTCAACTTAATGCCATATAATTATTCAAGATCAAAATTGATAACATTTTGATCGAAGTAGTAGATGAGTGGTTTGTTTACCCTATTCAACTTCATAAAACTAATTTTCAGCTTCGAGCCAATGACGTCAAAAGTGAAACAATCAATGGGTTAAATTTTAAGGTCAAGTTGATTTTCATGGCAGCCAATCAAAATTGGCTGATGATTTGACGCTGTAGAATTGTTTCCCCAGATTTTGTTTAATATTGTAAACAAAAGATTTATAAAATTTCTTGATGTCGTTTTGAATGGAAAAAGTCACGATGTTATAAAAATATAATTGATAGAGAATAGCCGCAACTTGCGTTTAACCCAAGATTAACAAATAAAAATATACCGAGTTTTTTCTCCGCTGGAGCAATAATATATTATCCTCTTTTTTAGATAAAATTTTCCTGCTGTTTCAGGTAAAAGGAAAAAAAAAGAGAGAAAAAAAAACTTGAGATATTAATTTCTTTCTCCCTAATTTCAGCTTGTTTCAAGGATGTATTGCTCTCGTAAGATATAGTACCGAGGCTAAGCGATTTCGGAATGCTAGGCTCTTGCGGTATGAAGGCATTTCTAAAAACTGCAGCGGTGAGACGTGTTCAAATGCAGAACAGAACATGTGTCAAAATGGGGGACGGTGTGTTGACCTGGTGGTCCGGGCCGAATGTGATTGTGAGAAAACTGGGTACTATGGTCGCTTTTGTGAACAAAAAGGTAAAATTCACTCACGACACATAATGTTTTCTTTCCGATTACATGATCCTCTTGAAATGCCTTGTTGTTTGTATTCATCATATTTTTGAGAAAGTTGTAAATTTTTAAACCACAAAATCTTTCAAATCTGTCACCACCTTTGGGAAGCTATGCCCTGCTAGCCGGCCTGCATAAGACAGCTGTGATAGCCAAAATATCTTCAACCTACAATTTAACTCCAGATATTTATGGCCTTTCGTTAATTAAGGTGAATCTCTAATACAAAATAAGCTACACATCCAGTCAAGGCAGTTCTGTTCATGACGGTGCGTGCACGTGGCCGAAAACCGCAACAAAGTGGTCTTCTATCACAAACGCTCTGTCTTTTTCTTGACTTCATTCCTTTGTATTTTGTATGACTTTGTGTGACTGTTGCATTGATTTGACTTTTCACCTTCATCATCATTAAGAGAAGGGTGGTCGATGTAGGGTTGCTGAGACGAATTCGTCACTGATAACTGTTGAGAACACATTAAGTAGATTGCCTTGTCCCAAGCAGCATAAACATAAGCACTTATATGAAATAAACCAATTTTGCTTTTTACCACCCACCCTGATCTTCAAAATCAACTTTTTTAATAACAACACCATCATGTTAATAACGCATCAAAAGTTGAAAAAGTATATCAATTCGACAGGATCTTCATATGTGAACAGAACAGTTTTCAATGGAACAGATATCACCGGACAGAAAAACAACACCAGTGACGATGACAATAACGTCAGTAGCGGTGGAGATGTACGTGAAAGCAATGAAGATAACAATAATGTGAATGATCCAGATGAAAGCCCTAAAGGAGTAACAGTGGGCAAAAGCAAAAAGGCTCAGAATGCAGTTTCACCTCTGCTCGTTTCCCCGCCGGTCTGCCTTCTTCTTTACGTTGCAGCTTTACTCATGCGCAATGATGTAGCCTGATTGCATCCAGTTTCTACTCCTCTGACAGCTGGAGTCGCGGAGGAATCTCTAGCCTCAAGTCTGTAGATATAATTGAGAGTAGATCAGCAGGCGGGAAGGTAGCAGAAGTTTAAAATAACCGTATTAATACTTGATATTATCTAGCTTTCAGAAGTTGAGACAACAGAACTTTTCAGCATGGTACTACCAATTTGAACCACTTTGGAAATTTTCACAAGTTCTCGTTACTCCGTGCAATAAGTTAACTACAGATTCTGTGAGATGTAAAAGAGGAAAAAAGGCAAACAAAAGAAAAGCATTCTAAATGATTTTGTCAAACGGTTTATTGAGTCCGAAATCTGTGCCATTTGTCCGCATTTCGCATTCTTTGTCTGCATTTAAATTTTCATCGGAAAAGTTTGATTAAATTTAAGTAGNGTAAAAGCAGTATGTAAAAGCAGTATGTAAAAGCAGTATGTAAAAGCAGTATGTAAAAGCAGTATGTAAAAGCAGTATGTAAAAGCAGTATGTAAAAGCAGTATGTAAAAGCAGTATGTAAAAGCAGTATGTAAAAGCAGTATGTAAAAGCAGTATGTAAAAGCAGTATGTAAAAGCAGTATGTAAAAGCAGTACGTAAAAGCAGTATGTAAAAGCAGTATGTAAAAGCAGTATGTAAAAGCAGTATGTAAAAGCAGTATGTAAAAGCAGTTAAGCTTCCCATAAGTAACCCAATTAGAGACAAAAGCTTTTGACGATGGTTTCATATCAGATAAACACAAATGATCGGAGAAAATAGGGAAAAAATTAAAAATGGTTACACTAACCAAAGCCTTAATTACTTTTGATAATTCTTCTTTGTGTATTTTTTACCTCAGGCAGTTGATCGAGTATAAAACATGAGAAAAGACATTTTCATTTCTTCTTAATATGTTTTTCAATTTTTATTTGCAAAAACCTTCATGAGGTGATTAGTGATGAGAGAAGAAGACCATAATTTAAATCTTTCAATAGTAGAGGCACTCACTTTTTGTAAATCAAATACTATCAATAATGATTGCAGTTCGCGCTTAGATGTGAAAAACAAAAAAATAAAAAAACAAAACAGAGCCAAGCAACTGTTAAATAAAAACTTGGTGAAAACTTCTCCGCTGAAGCATAAGAACCGTAGCCTTTACTCTTATTCTCATGAACTGCGTACCTCTCACGACACTTTCTCTTCCTTGTTACCCTTGCAGGATATTAGTGGACAAAATTGATGAGAATTATAATGTCAAGCACAATTCTGAAAGACTTGTCAATTATTAGTCTTTGTGAACAAAGGAAAAGGAAACTTGCAGAAAATATTGCGTCAAACCCGTGCCTCTATGTGCAAGTTAAATCGTTCAAGCTATCCACAGAACACTGAGCGAATGAAAGGAAATGATAAAACTTCAAACGGACAACGCAAATACTCTCAAACATCAATATTTCAACGTTTAAAAGAGTGTCATTTTCCGTTAATTTGAGTGACATGTCTCCATGTACACATTTGGGAACTGACACCATGAGTCGAACTACATATTCCTGTTTAGTTAATTTATTCTCAGTGAACAAGAGAGCTTGTCGAGATGGTCTCTTTAAGCATAAATCAGAGCCGGCTCGAAAAAGATCTACTTTTGCCATATCATAATTACAATCATTATCATTATTATAAGTATTCAAGGTCATCAGAGCTAATAACTTTAAAAACGTTCTCCAAATCACTAGCTATTGTATTGGTTTACCAGTTTGTCAAAAACTCAAATATAGCAATTGAAAATTCTTTTAAACAGAGATAAACTGTACTATTCAAGGTTTTTGCTCCTATAATGAAACACGTGTAGTAAATGAGATGTAACAATAAAATATTGAAATAAATGGCTCACAAAGAGATGAAAAACACGGATAATAAGAAAACCACGAAATTACACAGAAAAGTGGAACTCCAAAAAAATACATCAGCC